GATTGCTTCAACATTCACATGGCAGTGGAGTCGATTTTTATAATTTTTTGCAATCTTCTTGATAAATGTAGCCATAGTTTTCTTACCCAGGTCCTTACAGAGGACCTGTAAGTCCTTACCAGGTCTTGGTACGTGTTCCTCACGTACCAAGAAGCACTTACAACGTTTTAAGTACTTAATTCTAAATTTTCTGGATTATTTCTATATTACTTTTTTTGGCACAACCCAGAGTTGGTTGTTATAAGTCCAAATAAGTCGTAGTAGCTAGAGATGAGTTTCTTCCAAGCATCCAATACTTTTTTGTATTTTTTGTTCAGTTCTTCCCTTTTTTCTTAACATTAACTTTCCAGTGTAGTTGTGCATCTAATGTTATACTTACCTAGTTATTTTTTCGAATTTGCATATGGTACTTGGTTTTTATTAATTGTAACTGATATATTTTGTATCTTTTTGTTGTAAAGTTAACGTGGACAGATTTATTTTCATTCAGCCTAATTTTCCATTTTTCAGTCCAAGAATGTATTTAGTTATCTGCTCTTTGTAGTTTGTTTATTGCAACTTCGATAGTGTCATCTACCACTAAAATCGTAGTATCGTCAGCAAAGCTGACAATGGCGTTATTTTCTAATACAGGTATGTCGGCGTGTGTATAGCAAATAAAGGACCGGGCCCAATACGCTGCGTCTTGCGGAAATCCTGCTCGAATTTCTCTTATGTCCGAATAAGTTTTTTTTTGTTTAATTTTAAAGTGTCTTTCAGAAATTTGCGAAACTCAAACTTTACTGCTACACTCTATCGCATGTTTGGGCAACATTAAGAAATACAGTAGAAGATACCTTTTTTTCCTAACGATTTTTCAATGGTATTGGTTATTCTATGCACTTGATCAATTGCTACTTGATTATTTCTGAAGCCCAATTAATGTGCCGGAATCAAATTTTTTGTTTAAATCATTGTTTTAATTCTTTTGCACAGAAGAGTCTCGAATACAGAAAGTGGTGATATCGGTCTGTACGAAGACACTTCATTCGGAGATTTTCCTGGTTTTAGCAATCACTATGATTTGATACGACGATATCCTTTATAATGAGAGACATGGTCAAAATAATCAGCCGAGAGATCTATTTAGAAAAATACGCTACCTGACAAGAGACTTCAGAGCCAGAACTTGGGCCATTGAAGATAACACTGGAACCCTGAGAACAAACAGAGAAGACATACCAGAGACATGAAGATCGTATTGCAGGGACCTATATAAAGATGATCAACGCCAAGAGCTTGTTAGCCAAATCTCTGACGAGGTGGAAGAAGAACCTGATATACTCGAAAATAAAGTAACACAGGCTATCAACATGCTCAAATATAACAAAGCACCAGGTCCAGATATGATAACAGCAGAAATGCTTAAAGCCACAGAAGAAACCGGCGTTAAGTTACTTCATCTACTCTGTAACCAAATATGGAATTCCAAACAATGGCCTGAAGACTGGACAAAATCTACAATAACGACCATACATAAAAAAGGCAGCTTCCATAAATGCGACAATTATAGAACTATCTCTCTTATATCCCATGCCAGCAAGAAAATGCTGCATATAACAAATGAGAGACTGAAAACATTCCTCCAAAGAGAAATTCCACAAGAGCAAACTGGATTTACCAAAGGTAGAGGCACTCGAGAACACCTGCTGAATATAAGACAGATAATCGAGAAATCTAGGGAATTCAACATCCCACTATACATCTGTTTTATAGATTACCGTAAAGCGTTCGACAGGGTCAAGTGGAGACACTTATGGCGAATACTAAAAGAAGTAGGCGTACCACAACATCTAATTACGCTTATAACCGAACTATATCAACACACTACTGGATCAGTTAAAGTACTTGACACACTTTCGAACGAATTTCATCCAGAACGGGGTTAGTTACTGTTAAACTGGGAATAAGCCACAATTAAAGATAAAAATACGTTTATTGACGTTTTAATTTCCACTTCGGAAATCGCTCTCGATTTCCGAAGTGGAAATTAAAACGTCAATAAACGTATTTTTATCTTTTATTGTGGCTTATTCCCAGTTTAACAGTAACTAATTTACAATGCCACAGGAAAATAGCTTCAGAACGGGGTGTCAGACAAGGATATATACTATCTCCACAATTATTCAACATATATGGAGAGTATATTATGCGAAGAGCACTTGAAGGATGGGAAAAGGACATCTCAATAAATGGTCATAAACTAAACAACCTACGTTTCGCAGATGACACAGCCCTTCTTGCAAATAGTCAAGCAGAGCTGATAGAACTTATACGACTGATCGAAAACGAAAGTCAAATATTTGGTCTGCAATTAAACATATCAAAGACAAAGATCATGATAGTGGATAGACTACACAACAATCATCCACACATAACCACAATTGACCGGTTCGAGGTTGTGAGCTCATACTTATATCTGGGATCATTAATCACAAACACAGGGTCATTACAAGAAGAGATTAAACGTAGATGTGATCTAGCAAAAGTTGCCACAGTAAAAATGACCAAAATATGGAAGGACTGTCAAATTTCAAGAGCGATAAAGATGAGGTTGATTAACTGCTTAATATTCCCAATACTGACCTACGGATGTGAATCTTGGACTCTGAGACAATCGAAGAGAAGAAAGATAGACGCCACTGAAATGTTTTGTTGGAGACGAATGATACGAATTCCTTGGACCGACCGCAGAACAAATAATTCAATTTTAAGAGAGCTAAAAGTTAGCCAACGACTCTCTAGACTCTAAAGTCCATCTTCAACAATTAAAATATTTTGGGCATGTTATGAGAGCAAACACAGAAAACATGAAAAGACTCATAATACAAGGAAAGGTAGAAGGCCGAAGATCACGAGGAAGATCCCTAACAAGATGGATAGATCAAATTACAGGAATATGCCAAAGACCTATGCATGAATTAAAAGAAATGACCAGAGACAGAGATCTCTAGAGACGGACAATACACGACATCACGTCGACCACTACACTCCCCCTGGGGGGTCAGGATTGAAGAGAGAGAGAGAGATTTTTTATAATCTGGGTATATACATTATTCTGGGCAGCGTTAACATTAGGACAGCGATTAGTAAATTTTGCAATAGCTTTACGAGGTAGGTTTCTTATTACATCACCAGTGATTAAACGATAACCTAAAGCTTTTTTTTAGGTTAATGATTGTTTTTATTTCAGTCATTACTTCCTAGGAGATGTTGGTCCTTCCCAACATACCCATCTTCATTTGGTATTTGTCTTGTATGGAAAATAATAAAGGAAACTTTATGTTATTAAAATTGTGATTTTTTCACTACATTAATTAATAAAATTATAAAAAACCATAAAATATCCGAAGAATGGAGAACGAGCGAACTAATTCTACTATTCAAAAAAGGAGATAAACAAACAGCCATAAAAGTACAGAGGTATAAACTTGTTAAATACGACCCTTAAACTTACAACTAAAATGTTACAAGAACTAATGAATCAGAGGATAAGTTTAACAGATGAACAACAGGGTATTCGTAGTGGAAGATCGTGTGCAGATGCAATTTTCGTTATAAAGCAAATTACTAATAAATCAATAGAGTCTAATAGACCAGCATTTATGTGTCTGATTGACTTAAAGAAACCATTTAACAGAGTGAGACTCAAAGATCTTCTGTATAATAGAGAAGTTCCTCTAAATATTATAAAAACTATCAGGGAAATAAGACGGAGGGGCTCATTAAGGCCCTGTGCTCTTCAATTTATAGTCTGCAAAGACAGGTACACAGATTTAACATCAAAGCAAAATAATTTAATATGATACTCTCATCTCAGAAAATAAAAACCAAAGTAATTAGCAAAAAACCAACTAGACGTAAAATAGAACTTGATGGCATCAGCATTGAACAATTAATGGAAATAAAATACCTTGCAATTACACTGTCCAGCTATGGAGAGCCGGACAAAGAGGTGAGATCAAGTGCAAAAAGCAAATAGACTGGCAGGATGCCTTAATAACACTATAGTGGGAACCAGACACATTAAAACTGAGAAAATCAAAAATTTATAAAGTCAGTGTAAGACCAATAATGACATATGCCTCAGAAACAAGACCGGATACAGCCACAACACAAAGGATGCTGGAAACAGCAGAGATAAGAGCAAATATTCTATGAGAGATAGAAAGAAAAATGAAGACATTAGAAGAAAATGTAACATACAGTGTATAAATGAATGGACACTAAATAGAAAAAAATAATGGAATAACGACATAGGCAGAACGAAGAAGAACTGTGTCGTCAAAATAGCAAGAGATAAGTCAAGAAACGGCAGAAAAAGTATCGGACGAGCGCGCAAAATATGGAGTGACAACATTCCATAGAGGTATTAATCCGTTAATGAACCAGCAGAATTGCTCATAAAGAGGAAGAAGAGGAAGAGAAGCAGGAGAAGAAGTTTATATGTAACCCTAGGTGCATCGATGAATCACTTCGAAACGGTTTCGACTAATTACCTGAATTATCTTGAATATTATTACATAAAAGGTATAAAAAGCCCAGTTTTCGTTATTTAGGAATGAGTCTATATTTTAGAATTAAATAAAGCAATTATAGATATCAATACATACATACACAATAGATGCATTGTACCGTAGGTTTAATTCACGCTATAATAATATTTTCCCATTGTTCAGTTTCATATTGCATTTGCGTGCAAAAGATAAAAGTTTAAGACATCCAACTTAAAAAAGTTTTTCAAAATGTATTACAAAAACACTTGTTCAGTACTGGACACTTTCATAAGTCATTAATTTTAGTATTACAATATTTAATTTTCTATTTTAAGGCATATTTTATCAATTAAAGTGTTATTGTAATAAAACAAGTCGTGTTCGTGGTAGATTAAAAATATTTATCCACGTATATAAAATTTAAAAAACATATATAATCTATAATTAAGGTAAAATACTTTTTAGTATCAATGGAAAAATTAAAGAAGGGCAAAAACAAAGACAAAAAGGCTAAAAAACATGCAAGAGGTACAGTAATTGTGCGCGAAGACAAATACACTCAGATCCCGTCTGTGACAATTGTAGAAATTGAAGAAGACGACATTGCAGCGTACCAAATCGAGCCTAAACCTGGTGAACCTGGATACAAATATTTAACATTCCCGCTTAATGAAAAAGTCGGAGCAGTGATAACAAACTTCTGGGAACACATGGAAGAAGTGTTTGTTAATGATATGACGCAAGTGTTGTTTTTGAAGAAGACGCATTTGAATATGCTAATGCCTTATATTTGTTACATTAAGAACTTGATTAATAAACACATCATAAAGCCGGATGAAAGGCAGATGTATCTTAAGCAGTTTCAGGAACGATTCAATCAATTTGACAGTGACTTTCGTCGGGATAATGAGTTTAAGGCTGAACTGCATTGCTTGTAAGTAACGTTAAAAACATTTTATACCCACATTTTTATACTTAGTATATTTTATTTATTTTTATGTTTCATTTATCTGTGTCTTTTGGGTGTTATTGGACAGAGTGTGACTTATTGGTCGTTTTTGTTCAGCATAAGACTTTGTGTATATGAGCCGCACTAACCGAAACATAGATAGAATCCGACACAATATCACCATTGATGACTTTAACTTTGAGCGCGTCAGAGAATTTAAGTATCTTGAAACAGCAATAACTGAGAACAATAATGGATAGAAGAAATAAACAATAGTATTAAAAAAACAAGACATACAAAAATACAACTACGTAAGATAGTCATGTGACCCGTAGTGATGGATGGTAGCAAAACGTGGATGATAACAAAGGCAAATAAAGAGCGACTACATGTTTGGGGAAGAAAAATCCTAAGGCAGTTCTTTAAGGAAGGAAGACCAGAAGGCTCCAGTGCCCAGGACACAACAGAAGACATTCTGACGAAAAAATAGTAAGGCTGGTATGGAAAGAAGCCCCAACTGGAAGAAGACCGCGTAGACAACCTCGACTGTCGTGGCGAGATTATATAATAGAACCAATAAATCAATATAAGGTTGAATGCTCGAATAAATGAGCTTTGATGGTATACAAGGCAAATATTGAACACAGTATTAATTAAATCTTGCCCAAGTACTTTCGATCACTAGATCATCCTCAGGGGCATTTCGTCAGTTGTGGCTTATCCGACAAGAGCAGAATGTCATAAATGTAAAATGGGACGTAACAATACACTACACAAAGACAAACAAACACTTTAAATTGTATACCATCAAAGTTTATATAATAGGAGACTATAAAGCTATGGGCGAGCATTGGATGGAGATTGCTCAAGACAGAGAGGAGCGAAGGCATGTTGTCAAGTCGGCTAAAACCCACGAAATTTTGTAATTTCACTGAGTTAGTAGGAGAATAAGACCACATTTTATGATCATTATGTAGAAATTGCTTATTATTTGAGCGGGTTTGTCTTTTAAGCAATCAGAACTGCTACACTTAACTTTGTTATAAAATTTATAAGGTCTACTAGTGTTTGCATGCTGCTCAATATCTTTACTTACTCTTTTAATATAAAAATTGTTGTCTTTCTTGTACGCCTTTTATATTTCTTTGTCCAAGATTTTTCTATGTTCTCTAGATATTATCTCATCTCATCATCTTGTTGATGTGATCTGTAAAGTTCTGTGTAAAATTCTTCTATTCGTGTCAGTATGTTTTCTCTACTTGTAATTTCATTTTCGTCTTTTCCTATTAATGATATCATCTGACGTCGTCCTAGTGTCGGTCTGAGACATTTCATACTCTTATTTTTTTCAATAGTTGTTGTTATTAATTTTTCGTTTTCTTTTCTTTTTTGTTGTCTGATTCCTTTTCTAATCTGCGTATTAAGTTCTCTATATTCGTCGGTTCCCCTTTTGTTAGATTTATTTAAGATCTTCCTTCTTTCTATTTGTTGTAATATTTCTTTGTCTAATTCATTGCATGTTGTTTTCGGTTTTTGCAGTTGCAGAAGGCTTTTATTCACTGTTTCGGTAATTTATCGGTAACCTTATTACCGATAAATCGACTTAACGCGTTTGAAATGTGGACATTTAGAAGATTGTTAAGGATTCCATGGGTAGATAAAGTCACGAATACAGAAGTGTTAAGGAGAATAGGCAGAGAGAGGGAAATGGAAAATATAATAAAAGAAAGAAAATTGCAATATCTCGGACATGTAATGAAAATAGAGGGTAGGAGAAGAGTAGGAAGAAGACGCGTTTCCTGGTTGAAGAACCTGAGGGACTGGTTTGGTTGCAGCTCAAGGCAATTGTTCAGAGCAGCTGAAGAAGAACTTAAAAATAAGCTACAAAGTACAACCTTTTTTAAGTCTTTGCATTGTGAAACTATTGTATGTAGAGATTTCAATGTAGATTCTTTTAAATATTATTTTATCTGGAATTAAATTACAATTGATTTTGATGAGAATACCCACACGTAGAATACGAAATGCTATGATAGATAGAGATCTCAGAGAAGGTGACTGGGAAAAAAGAGTCTCACGGAGGATGAAAACTGCGAACTCATAATGGTAAAAAGCCAAAGAATAAAAAGATTTCTAATGCTGAAATCGTTTTAAAATTGTAGAAATCGTCCAGGTTTTAATAAAACCTTTTTTATATGTCCTCTCCGCATCGGAGGTTGCCGACCATTAATTGGAGTTCTTTTCTATCTTGTGTTAATAGTATAATTATTGTGCTGACCTGCCAGATATTGAGTCTTTGGCGTTTCGCAGAAGTTTCGCAACCACCACGCAACTTCTTTGTTCTGCTATTAACTACTGTGTCAATAGTTCTTTATCTTTATTCATTCTTTCCAACACTCGATCAGAACTGACGCTACAACCCCTTCCCAAACGAATCCATACGTGATATGGTTCTTGTCTTTTACATCCATTCATCAACTTCGTATAACAGTGTAGACAGTATGGAGCATTAAATTGCACGCCATCGATTAGTCAGCCTCAAGTCTTTATTGCAGAATAGTACTTTCATTTTGAAGAACATACTCCTGGATATTTCTATTCTAATTTTGACTTCATCATCAGGATCCTATTTATCGTGTAGCCAGCATCCCAAGTACTTATTTTTTCTTTAAATATGTTAGGTCCGTCTAACTCACATCTAATTATTCTATTAGATTTCAATCATAAGCAAAACATTCGAATATGTAGATTTTCTATATTTCTGCCTTCTTCTGTTTGTCTGTTGCCAATTTGTTGTTTCTGTTGATAAGTTTTGCAAGTGTTTTGTGTTTATAAGTATGTGTTATCTTTACTCGAAGAAGTGACATCGGATCGACCAGAGAGCTTATCTTCTATGGTAAAGCTTTATCGGTTTCCAAGTCAGTGAAGTCTTTAGAAGTGACCCTGGACTCTAAACTGCCATGGAAGGAATATATGGATACCAAGGTAAAGAAGTCCGCTGCAGCTCTCTGAGCACGCAGAAAAGCTTTCGGAACCAAATAGGGTCTACAGCCGAAAATCCTATATTGACTTATATTATACTGAGGTATAATAGCGGCTCTTGAGGCTCTATTGGATTTACCTACTCTATATCTTCTGGATACTGGTAGGGAATAACTGATCGGATGGGCCATCGTAATATTTGGAGACAGGCCATCAAGTGTTGTCCTGTGCTCTCTATGGTGCAGGGCAGCATGATCCCGCACTTTGAGTTCTGATTCTTCTTTTTGGTCTAATTTCCTGACCGGGATGAGTGGATGGAATGCACAACAGTGCGGGATTATCTGGTTCACAGTTGGGTCCAGAATAGACGAGCGTACAGGTGCTGGAGTAATAGGGTTGAGTCTAGCCATGATTTCACGTCGAGATATTTGCGATCCTGGTAAGTGCTCAGGAAATAGATAGGGCTTGCTGAGGCAAAACCATCTCTTTCTACTCTAATAGTCAAGCAGAGCTAAGGAATTTGAAAGCACCTTTAAGCTAGTTTTTGGAAGCAAGAAAGCACTGTCTGACGCTATCCAATAGGGCTAACTTGATATGGACGCCGGGGCACACAGGTGTGCACAGGACGAGCTCTGGATGAATTTTTTCATTTGATATTGACTTATTTCGACTTTCGTGAGGTTTTCTTGGAAATAATATTCTAGTGGAATTACCTACACTTCTAATTACAGTATAGGAACTAGTTAAACTATTGTCCCTCTGCCTCGTAATGTCCAATAATGAGCTGGTTCAGGGTCGATTCCTATATATCCCAATATAGTACTGAAAATGGCGCTACTCGTTTTCAGGGATATTTATCGTCCTTCAGGTCCACATCCGTAAGGTTTTAGGCCAAAAGAGTTACCTCGCGATGGATGTGCCTTTTCACTACGCATAATGGTCTTGACTAGTGATAGGATAAGGCTCCACTTGAAAGAACTATATTTGTATCAACTATCCCTGAGAGGTTATGAGGACCAGTGTTAAGTCAACCCTGTACAAAGGTACTACCCTTTCAATCTCTACCAGCCCCTTAATAAAACCAATTGTGAGTCTTTTTTTCTTTTAACCGTTTGAAAAAGACGTCATTCATTATTGGAAACAAAAACTTGAAGAATAAAACTTTATTTTTTTTAGAGTAAACGAATTAAAAAATAGATTATTGGACATGTGTGACAATAAAATGATAGCAGCGGAACAGGAAAGACGCGCCATACTTCATAACAACTGGGGTCCGAGACAACTCGCAGAAATAATCAATAACTACATAAACGGCTTCCAGTTGGAGTTGGACAGACACATAGATACTTTGATATTCATCAACGATTATTTCACCGGACTTATCAGCCAGGTACTCACCGAAGAAGAAATCACGAAGGAAATTTTGCACAAATTTGAACTAGAAAATAAATCGTTCGAAAAATTGGTTAATGATTACTTGCTGGAAAAATTGGACCAAGAGCATCATGAGGACCCGTTGAAGGGAAGACTTGAAACTATTTACCATACTGCCTTGTTAGCTGCAGAAGTACGTGAAGTTACAGCATTTGATCATTTTTTGAAGGCAAAATTATTATGTCATCCGGACGAGGGAAAGGGAAAAGGAAAAGGAAAAACGAAAAAAGGTAACTTCTTTCTTTATATATTTTTTCTTTGCATTGGTGTTGTGGAAAAGCATTGTAAAAAATTTTGTAAAAAAATTGCAATCATACTGGTCATTGTATGACAATTTATGTCGACATTGTATGACGACCAGCTAAATCACTCTCTGAGATTACGCAGCCATAACATTCGCCTCCTTCCAACGGTTCGCTTTCCTAAAATCTTTTCGTGCATGATATTCTGTAGACGCTGATATTTTGTTCCTAGCATCACGTGGCCAATGTATTGCAGTTTTCCTATCTTTATTTCATGATTTAGTTCTGTTTCTTTTGAAAGTCTTCGCAAGAAATTTTTATTCATGACTTTGTCTATGTACGCTATTTTCAGGACTCTTCTGTAAAGCCCCATCTTAAAGACTCAATTTTTCATCATTGCTTTAGTCAGAGTGATTGCCTTTATACCATATAGGAGGATATTAAATATTTATTATCTAAGAATGCACATTTTTATGTTGACACTCTGTTTTATTCCAAAAAAATTGTGTTATTTCATATGTTTCGAATGTCAGATACGTCCCTCCCAAAACAAATACTATTTTCACAAATTAGGAATGGACAACGCAAGAAGTTATTTCTCCAACTACAAACAAACACAAGTAAACTAAATATCATACAGATCTATGCACCTACTGCAGATAAATCCGAGGACGAAATTGAACAATTCTACGAAGAAATCAATAAAGTATTAAAATCGACGAAACCACGAGACATCACCGTAATTCTAGGTGATTTTAACTCAAAAATTGGCAAAGGAAAAAGTGGCAAACATGTAGGAGAATACGGACTCGGTAAAAGAAATGAACGAGGTGACAGACTACTTCAATTCTGCCAGGAGAATAACATGATTGTATCTAATACATTCTTCAACTTACCAAAGAGAAGACTCTATACGTGGAAATCACCCCAGGACAATGGCGAAAGAATAATTCGAAACCAGATTGATTTTTTACTGATAAACGAACGATACAGAAACTCCTTAAAATCCGTTAAAGCTTACCCAGGCGCAGATGTCTTTTCAGACCATAACCCTCTAATAGCGCAAATGAATATTAAACTAAAAAGATTGGAGCAGAAAAGAAGAGCAAATCAGATAGACGTCAGTCATTTATGTAACCTGGAGGTAAAGGAGAAACTGCAAAAATGTATTAATAATAATTTGAAAATACTTCATGAAAAGGAAACATCCCAGCCAACGAACAACATAGATAAAAAATGGCAAAACGTAAAAATGGCAATAACAGGCCCTGCGAAGAAAATTTTGACTAAAGAAAAACCAAAAATAAAGCAAAGTTGGATGACTGATAAGATCCTTCTTCTCATGGACAACCGGAGAATAATGAAAGGAAAAAACGAACAAAGGTATAAACAACTACAGAAAGAAATTAAAATAGAAATCAGAATAGCAAAAGAAGATTTTTATAAAAGAAAATGTGAAGAAATAGAGCAATTGCAGGCAAAACATGATATTTTTAATGTACATAAAAAAGTGAAAGAACTTGCAGGTACACAAAAACGTAAGCAGCCAAATACCCTGTATAATGTCAACGGAAACATAATAACAGAACTAGAAGAACAGTTGAAGACATGGAAAAACTATATTGAAGAACTCTTTGCAGATGATAGACAACAATCTGAGCTAAGTAACATACAAGGAGACGAAGGTCCAGAAATAACGGAAGAGGAAGTAATGTACGCACTAAAAAGAATGAAAAATGGTAAAGCCCCAGGTCCAGATGAAATACCAACGGAAATCCTTAAACTAATAGAAAAAGACTCGATTCGCATTTTAGTTGAACTTTTCAATAGCATTTATACATCAGGAAAAATACCACAAGAATGGCTTTTATCCACCTTTGTTATTATACCAAAAAAGATAAATGCCAAACAATGTAGTGATTACCGTACAATCAGTCTGATGAGCCATGTACTGAAAATATTCCTGAAAATTATACACTCTAGAGTACACACAAAACTGGAACTGGACATCAATAATACCCAGTTTGGATTCCGAAATGGACTCGGAACAAGAGAGGCGTTGTTTGCACTGAACGTTATGTCTCAAAGATGTCTTGACATAAATCAAGATGTATTCATGTGTTTCATAGATTACAACAAGGCCTTTGATAAAGTGCGGCATGATCACCTAATCAGACTCCTGACAGAAAAGAATTTAGATAAACGAGACATCCGACTAATAGCAAATATGTACTACAATCAGAAAGCAGTAGTGAGAGTAGAGAATAATACCACTGAAGAAATTGAAATAAAGCGAGGTGTGAGACAAGGGTGTATACTGTCACCAACCCTGTTTAATCTCTATTCCGAAGACGTAATGAATAGAACACTCTCTGAGCAATCCGTAGGTATTAAAATAAATGGTGTTAGATTAAACAATCTGAGATTTGCCGACGACACCGTTCTGATCGCAGAAACACTTGAAGAGCTACAGACATTGGTGAATAAGATAGCAGACTGCAGCGAAGAATATGGACTATCTTTGAACATAAAGAAAACGAAATTTATGGTAATATCGAAATCAACACAAAATGTCCAAAATTTATATTTACACAATGAAATTATCGATCGAGTTAGCAAATACAAATATTTAGGCACTTTTATAAATGAAGACAACGATAGCTCAGCGGAAATCAAAATAAGAATAGAAAAAGCCAGATCCATATTCACTAAAATGAAGAGAGTGTTCTGCGGAAGAGATTTGAGCCTTGAAATGAAACTTCGCCTGATGAGATGTTACGTACTTTCTGTGCTGTTTTACGGAATGGAGTCATGGACGTTAAAAAAGATTGATATCAAAAAATTAGAGGCATTTGAACTGTGGATGTATCGCAGAATCCTGAGAATATCATGGACCGAGAGAGTCACAAATGTCGAGGTCTTGAGAAGAATGAACAAAGAAAAGGAAGTCATATTTACAATCAAAAAACGAAAACTGCAATACTTGGGCCACATTACAAGAGGCGAAAGATATGAACTGCTTCGAATAATTATGCAAGGGAAAATAGCAGGAAAAAGGTCCATAGGAAGAAGACGAAACTCCTGGCTAAAGAATCTACGGGAATGGTATAGTTGTAGCAACAACGAATTGTTTCGGTCAGCAGTTTCGAAAATACGTATAGCCCTGATGATCGCCAACCTTCGGAACGAAGATGGCACTTGAAGAAGAAGAACGCAAGAAGGGAGGACAGCAGAAGCACTACAGGCACAACCTGAAAAATAACATAAATAAGTGTAACATCGACTTTAAAAATAATTTCAGTATATGGCTCATTAAACTTACTATTCTATGACCTTTACATTCTTTAGCGTTGTTTTTCTTAGGGGATTGCAATGAAAATAGAAAACAGCTAATCATCCGTTGTTTCTCGTGCTTCATACACGATATTGAAAAGTTTGGTAAAAACATGTATAATGTCTTCGTTTATCAACTTTAATAGTTCAACAGGCATCTCGTCCGGATCAGGAGCCTTTCCGTTTTTCATATTTTTGAGCACATGTAGTACGTCTTCATTGGTCCGCTGTCTAGTTTTTCTGATATTGTTGGCTCAAGTCGTTCATCTTGATAGATGCCTAGTATATACTCTTTCCACGTTCGTATTTTTGTTTCGTTGTCTACTGCTATCTGGTTGTTACCATCAATTAGTTTATTTCCATGTCTGCGTCTATAGGTTCCGGTGGTTGATCTAATCTTCTTATGTATGTTGAACGAGTCGTGTAATTCTTGTAGATTTTTTATTCTTTTGTTGGATATTAGCTTCCAAACCATTTCTGTTATCAATTATAGCTGGCAGCAGTTCTTCATTTTTTTATTTTTTTTTTAACGTTAAATTTTGGTCCTCCGTTTCTCATTGTGAAGATATCGATGTTGCCTGTTGTTTTAGATGTTGATTTAGTTTTTTACCCTTTTTATTCTCTGTTTATTTTACTATCTGTAACGTAAGGATACTTTTAGTTAGATAACCTTCTTGGTGGAAGCTTGTATTAAGTGTTTATTATTACCACTTCTTTTTCAATTGGAAAAACTTAACCAATCTTTCATTACGCTAGTCAAGTCTATATTCTCTAATCAAATCTTTGCAGTTCTCTTTGCTTACTTTTGCATTGAAATCAACCATTATAATAAATGTTTCATGTTCTTTAACCGTTTTTACTACTGGTGCAATATGACCGTAAAATTCTTCGATATCCTTCTTTTTACTCCGAGCTGTAGGCGCATAATCTGAGTGCCGTATAGCCGGTTCTATCCGTCCATCCATCCTGTGGCTCTACATTCCAATTCGAGCCCTGGCCCCCCTCAGCAACCCAGCTAGTTCTATATTCTGATTCTCTTGATTGAAATTTCTAAAATTTTGTCTTTAATCAGTTGTTACCATAAATAATACAAATATTTCTGCGTTTTACATTTTAGACCCAAAAACACTTCTTACTGCCTTCGAACCCAGCAAGGGCGTAAAGAACAATCAAGACAGAATTTTTGATGAATGGTTATGCGCACTACACGGCGAAATCGCTCGATTAGAAATCCGCTTTTTGCTATTAAAACAGGATATGTTTGAGAATGTTACCTGGTTTATTAAAGCTCTAAGAAAGACATTTAATGAGATGCACAGCAATATTAAAACAAGATATATAAAAGAAGTAGAATGCGTTAAAAAAGCTTGTCATTTTCTTTCGACGGCAATAGAAAACGAGGTATGAAATTTATGTTCGTTAAAAACGTAGGAATAAATTAGGTTAAAGGGGACCAAACCAGGTGAATTAGGAGGATGATAGTGTAATTCATAAATCAAATCTGAAATTTTTTGATGCACGACAAGTAGTAGTCTTTTATTTTGAAGCAGTCTGTTAGAAACCAGTCGTACAGCAGCCTGTAGACTTATTGTACATTGAGACAAGGTTCAACTTCAAACCGCATATTTCACATTGATGACGAGGTCACTAGGTCAGACTCCTTAAACACTTATTAACTTTGTCACAGAACAGTGTCGGCAATAAATGAATATACCTAATGAATAGAGACCAGAATATATGCAAAATGCATTTTTTGCATATCAGGCATGTCTTGCATAAATTTCATATTTTTACAAAAAAAATATTTAAAAAAATCCTTTATAAAAGGTATATATATTTTAAGGGGGCAGATACTAGGATTACATGAGATAAGCCACTAAACATGTAGTTTGCACCTTTAAATAAAATTAAATTTGTTATTTATCACGAGTTAAGAGTCTTATGTTGCCGAGCAATAAATTTGTTTAAAACATTAACATCATACGAATTTATCAGCAAATATGTAGTAAATAACAGCTTTAATTTATTTAAAGATTTTACTCACATATTTAGTGGCATCTCTCATGTGTATCTGGTAACTGCAATGATGATGGACTTGTTAGTCCGAAAACGTTTTGTGATATAGCCAGAAAGGGTATTCATAAATATTTATATACCTTTTATAAAGGATTATTTTAAATAAATTTTTTTGTTATTCATGTTATACAGCCAACTACAGGAATTTCATTTTTCTTGTGGATTTTTACAAAAAAAATGCATAGGTACATTAAGTGATCAAATTATTATGATCACTGTAAAAAACTCTGTATTTTGGTGTTTAATAAAGAATAAAACTGCATATAAATAAGCATCTAATAATATGAGTACAATATAAAAATAGATCACGAACACGTTCTTTTACAAAATTTTGAAATATTTTTTTCTTTGACCTTAAATAACAATTTTTTTTTTTAATATTTTGTGTGACCTCCTTTAGCTTCGAGGACAGCTTTGATCCTTTTTGGCATGCTTTGAATGTTTTTTAGGCTTCTTTTTTTATCGTCTCTGTGACAAGTAGCAATGAGTCTCTCGATTAACTGCTGCTTACTTGTGACAATTTCTTGGGCTATCCCCCTGTTCATGAGCTCCCATAGATTTTCGATACGGTTGGGGCCTGGTGAATTACCTGGCCATATTAGTACTTTAATTTTCTTTTTTTCCAGGTAACTGGAATCAGACAGAAGACAGATGTTACTGTTTTTGCCATATAACGAGATGCTTAATCGTGCATAAAGGTAATTCTTTCGATTCGCCAAACCAGTCTTTAATTTGTGGCATAAGCTTTTTTTCAGAAGTGCAATATACTTCATCATTCCCTATACAATTTACAGCCTCCCTGTGCCCTTACTATTGGTCACAGACCATATTATGATCTTGAGAGGATGCTTTACTCACTCCACTATGCAATCCTTGTGACATTTTTCAACCACACGTCTCCGGACGAAAGTCCACTTGTTCATGAGTATCTTCACTGTAGACTCATCGTAGACATTTTTTTTAGAATAAAAACATTTAAACTTTAATAGTGATGTAGTTTATCTTATTCCAATCCTTCTGCGGACTGTGATATCAGAAACTGGCATTCCAGCTTTACGAATGTCCCGTGAGAATTTCTCGTGTTTTCTTTCTGTTGTTTATGAAGATATCCCTCATTTTTCTCTCGTCTCTGGGTGTAGTTACACGCTTTCGACCACATTTTTGGGCACGTCGATAAGTCAGGGGTTTGTTGGTACTTATAATTTTTTCTTGATATTGCTCATTGTTGCTTGTGCTACTTGGCACTTTTGAGATCTTTATCCTCAAAAATTTATATTTTTTGAAAATATCTTTAAAATTAATTGGATTTTTTTCACTCACAATCACCACTAATACATTATTAAAACATACTATATGGATAAAACGATATTAATCTTTCAAAAACAAAATACAAACAAATTTAATTCTAACCTTCACAGGCAAATTCACCACAATGTATGTGTTGTGACATAATTTGACACAAATGACAGTTCTAGTGCTGTCAACGTCAAAAAAGTAAAGTTATTTTAGTGACAAAACATATTGGCATACCTTAATTGTGTAGCAGCATATGATTTTACTATAAAACTTCATAATCATAATAATTTAATCACCTACTGTATATCTGCATGTTTATATTAAATGTATAATGCCAATATTTTCTGAATATGTCAACTTTTTTCGAATTTGTTAATTCAAATTCCTCGAGTAATAAAACCTCTGTTTCTTTGAATAATTTTGGGTGTACTTGCTATTGTAATAAAAGATTTTAGGTAAACTGGTAAAAAATTAACAACCCTAATACACAAACAAAATGAAACATACGTAAACATTTTTGGTAAGACGGGTTTTTCCAAAATTGAAAAGGGGCAGAAGTGTTGATGAAGCTTTTAGGAATAAGTAGCTAAGTGTTTTTGAAACGTGTTAACATTGTAACAATGTAACAGTGTATTGAGTGTATTGAGACAAGTTTTAAAAGTGACAAGACTTCGTTAATTTGTTTATATCGCGATATCTGATTGCTTAGATTCAGCCGTATCCTAAATTTAAGCTGGATAGAGGAAAAGTACTTTGTTGAACTTGCACGAAAATTGTGAGTAACTATTTTCATTTTAAAACAAGTGCAAGTCAACGCATGTTTAAGGGGCTCAATTCAAAAGGGCAATTGACAACGGCGCAGTACTTAGGGATCCAAAAAAACCAGCAGCAACTTTTTAACCATGATCTTTGGGATGCCTTGTTATCTTCATGAATTCCAATTTTAAAAGTGAAAAATGTCACTTTTACCTCAGAGAATTTTTAAGAAATAAAAAGTTTAATTTTAGAACTTACAGATTCCACTTCAGCAGCTCTCGATGAATGTAAACGCCTTGTTCAGTCACCTAATTTACCGAAGAATGTTGCATACATAAGCTTAAATTTTAAACTTCTTGTTGAGGACATAAAAAAACTTGAAAAACATACAAACTAAAAATAAATTGCAATATGTTTTAAACAAAAACCCAGGATTTTCTATCTTGGAAAAAATTGCGAAAGTTCATCAAGGTGATCCTGTACCAGATCTTGAGCCTTCCAACATAAACAAGTTTAAAAATGTACCAAATACTTTAATTGATGTTGGAAGAAGTTTTTCGAGTTACAAACATTTATGCACAGATAGAAAGCTTTAGATAATACTAGATAACTTAGAAAACAGTAGTTTGTGAAATTACCTATCTACTAAAAGTATGTATGATTACTGGATTTCTTAAAATATTATTATTTTGTATATATTAAAATATACAAATGTAAAAATTGTATTTCAATCTTACTGCAGATTTAATCTACAAGGTGGTCCAGAATATGTACATTAATTTCTAGAGCTCATAGTACGTCCAAAAATAAGGGTACTTCTTTATGTACACTTTTTATAAAACTGAATAATAAGGGAGATACAACCCTTTAAAGGGGTGAATTGAAATTCTTATTTTTTCAAATATCTTCCAAACGGTTTTGAATACAGAGTTCATATTTTGAGAGGGATTATAAGACATTAGGATAATTAATTTCATGTTACCACCTACCACATCCTATATTGACGCAAAAACCCCCACTTACCCTCCAAAACTACCCTGTATTAATATAGGATGTGGTAGGTGGTGACATGAAATTAATTATCCTAATGTCTTATAATCACTCCCAAAATATGAGCTCCGTATTCAAAACCGTTTGAAAGATACTTGACAAAATAAGAATTTCAATTCACCCCTTTAAAGGGTTGTATCCCCCTTATTATTCAGTTTTATAAAAAAAAGTGTACATAAAGAAGTACCCTTATTTTTGGACGTACTATGAGCTCTAGAAATTAATGTACATAATTCTGGACCACCTTGTATATAAAAATTCGACTTTTTAAATACTAACAGGAAGGCATTTTTATTGATTATTATTATATGAATTAGTTTTTAAATGCAAAATTTATGAACAAGACAATAATTAACGTCTGCATATTCTTGCATATATTCGGGTTCCTGTTAATGACTATTTTAGGTACCCATTCAAGAAGAGCTCCTCTTCGTCGACGATGACTTCTTAATAAACGCAGATACTTTAATGTTTGAAAGTCCAATTCAACAAGATGTTGAAGAACTGCCAGATGATTTGACGTTTAGAGTTTCTGAACTGTGGAAAATCACAGACATATTTTCTGATTTAGCTCCGGATGGTTTTTTGCCGCGTGCCAAATTTATTTTTATTCTCCAGGATTTTATAGCCAGCGAAGAACCATACCTGGTACCGAAGGAATGGCGAAAACTAGAAGGGTAACTGTGTTTTTTCTTTTTTAAATGCATTAGGTTGTATATTTTTCTACCATAAGAGCGGAAACAAAACACCGATGATATTTTTTACGCTTATACTATATTCTATCCTTTTTTAATATCTCCATATCATAATAGAAGATTTGTTTTATACAAGTTTTTGAATTGGGTGTCTTATGTTTTTGTTCTGACTTACATAAACACAAATTGATTTTTGGGTATTTCGGTGTCTTTAACCATCCTTCTATCGATTAATCTCTCCCATATTTTCAAGAACAAGTAGTTTTACAGAACAAGGTCCTGTATTTTGAGAATTGTTGCATTGTTTAACATAACCTTTGTTTTTTAACCTGATACAAATATACTAGTTCGTCTGGCATTTATTACACTTAACCAAATCGTCACTCTTTGTTCGAATGATGCACAGACTCCTCGGCGATATCTTCTGATCTAGATGCTTTCATCCTCATAATAATCAGTATCTTCTAGTCTGATGTTAAGTCCACTGATAGACATTGGCGTCAATAAGGATATATAAAACATTTTCTTATGAGGGTTGAGATCAAAATATATACCTACTTAATGGTAATTAATAATACTTAATTATATACCTAATATAATAATACTTGTTAATTTATAAGGACTAAGACATCTTTAATATTATCCCTGCCTCGAAACAAAACTAAATTAAGTCTGTGTGCTTAACAGTGAACGAAAATTGCATCTTTAAATTGTTCCTCTACTTTAGCTTTAAGACCTGCTAACTGGCCAGCTATTACCGCAGCACCATCATAGCTCTGAGGGACAAACTTGGACTAACATTCTAATTTCAAAGTGGTATCCTAAACAACTTTAAACAACTGTAGTTAGATCGCTAGTTATGATCAAAAATTCTAAGAATTGTTCTTAAGGAATACCATCAACCACATATCGCACAACAATGGATAACTAATAAAAATTAGTTACATCTGTTTTTTCAACAAGTGCAATTGAAACAAAGACTGCTTTCTTAATCTCATATTTAATATGATCCAATATAACGTTAGCAGTGAATAAAATGATTTTTTATGGTCTCATCATATTATGATGATAATTTACTTGTTTCATTATGACCTCCGAATCTTAATTTATGATCTCCCATGAAACAAATTATATCAATTAATCATTTTAACACATCCCTTTTATTAACCTTTCATTGTGAAGCCTGTTTTTTTCAAATAATTGTCCAAACTACGTTCAATGCGATACGTCCCGAATGTTTTTTCTTTGTCTTAATATTTATATGGTGCTTTACACTTTTCGTGAAAATTATTTAAATCCGTAATGCAGACTGAGTTCCAATGTGTTTTTCGCTTGTATTAAAAGTAAACAAGGCCAGCAAAATAATTTTGACACAATTTTACAGCCAATTAACCATTCATTCTTCTCATAAAAACCCACGTGAAAATGTCTGGTAAATTTCTTTGTCAATTTTTCCACGTTTGTCTCTAAATTAATGGGTCCATTGACTTACTAGAGTTTACAATATCCAGTTTCTCTTGATAACTTCAATCAATCCTTTTTTAATCAAGAACATACAATACAAACCCAGTTATCTATAGTCCGTCTAGAAAGTATCCGGAAAAAAGAAAGCAGAGTTATAATTTTACGGTATTTATTTCTATTATTTGAAATATAAAATGTCAACAAATAATTTATCTTATTTACTTATACAACATCCATTTAAATCTAAACCTCCTGGTATACCCGAAACTAGGTCAAGGCCATATTTTTCGGTAATGGTGTTACAGGCCTGTAAAACTGACCGAATCAAACCTTCTTTATCTCGTCGCGCTGCTCGTCCCACTTAATTTTCATTAGTACCCATATGTTTTCAATGGGGCTAAGATCTGGAGAAGCTGCTGGCCACTGAATTTTTCCCAATTCGTGTTCTTGCATTCAAGCTTGGATATAAGCAGAAGTATGGCATCTTGCATTATCTTGCTGAAAACGCCACCCCTCTAGATAGAAAACATGAGTCGTTTCAAAAAGAAAACCATTTAGGAGGTCACAATATTTCGCACTATCAACAGTACCATTAACTATACAGAAAGGTGTAGCACCGCACTAATACATTGCTTCGCAAACCATTATTTTAGTGGGAAATTTGGAAATTTAAACGGTAACATTTTCTCTTGATAGTTAGGATTTTTAAATGATTTGCACCAAGCTAGAAATAACTTATCAAATATAAAGACATTATTAAAATTATCTTCCCTAAAACGTTGACAAAAATCTATTCTTCGTTGCCTTTGCAGAGGTGTCATTGTGGTGATTTTTTTGGATTTCTTGATATGTAGCCTTGCTTTTTCAGTGACATGCGAACAGTTTCTGGACACACTTTTATTCTTCGTTGATTTCCAAATCTGTTCGCTAATTTTCGAAACCCTAGACACGGATTTTGTCGTCCTAAAGCCACTAAAGCATTTAAATTGTTTCCGCGAATCTTACGCGGTCTACCTGAAACTGGTCTGTCTTATATCTATGCAATTTTTTATTCTCTTTATTGTCTCTTATAGTGCACTTTTTTCGAGTTCAGTCAATTGCACTAATTTTTTACCGTTACGGATACCCTTTCTATACGAATATTCCACCACTTTTCTTTTTTCTACTTGCGACATTATTTCACAAATCTAAGTCTGTTTACAAACAACAATATTTGACAGATGGTGTTGTCATGCGATTTTGTCCATAACCTACTATCGGCACAACCTACTTGATGCATTACTTTTGCCTTAAAATATTACAAAAAGCAAGTCTACTAAAATTAGGAAAAATATAAAATTCCGGATACTTTCTAGACGAACTATACGGTTCTTCACTCGCTCCTTCCATTGCGAAAAAAAAACAACACAGAAGAAAAGCAACACAAAATTTACAATTTATTTAACCTTCAGCCATTACCGATCGTACATGGACTGCTACTAAATAAATAAAGGCGGAAGGCGGTCGAAAAAGTGCTGCCTGTTAACCAAATTTCCACGTAATTTAACATGACTCATCGGTGAGGTTATTAATACTTAAGCCAGAGAACTACAAACACAGGGGCGAAAAAATCTGTGTCGAGCACTAGACGAAAGAACGAAAGCTTATATGTAGCAGTGTATAAAATATTGGGTTCCCCTGTCAAGCAGTGGACGTTCAATTAGTGAATAGAAGAAGGTAACATGAGATGAAAAACAGATTAGCTAAAGAAAAGAAGAAGACGAAAGAAAGGAAAAGAAAAAATGATTCGACTTGTCAGTAAGCGTGATGTCACCCGAACACCTGAGCAGGTGCAAACATCAAAGGATGCCGCTTTTTCCCACGGTCGGTAAAATTTTCCCAGCGCCAAGTGCCGCAGCATCAACTGCGTTCGTAGTTCTCTGCTTAAACCACGTTGGAAGGGGATAAGGGATAGGTGCAGCTCAGTGATATGTAAGAGAGCTCTCTTACGTATCTCTGGTGCAGCTATTTGAGAAGCGCTTCTGTCATCATAGGCGCGGACAGACTCGATGCGTTAAATTGTGTTGCCCGGGAATTTCAATATTTGAGTTCGTTCATGCGATCAATTTTTAATATTTTTCGACGCCAATTGCCTACATACTAGATTACTTAGATCTTAGATTAGGGAAAAATTGTTGTTAATTAAATATTAATTAATAATATATTTTCTTATATCGAAGTATAGGAAAGACTTGCTTCTCCCGATTCATGGACCCCACGTCTCTGGCATCTATTAAACTGCTCCACTGGGCTCTTTATTGAACAGTTACAATTCAGCGTCCTACTCTTTATATATTATTGCTCCATCCTCTAGGCAGTGTACTTCTGCTTAATCTCACATGCTTAATGTTAAAATTATTTGTATTATGTCTTGTATTTTTTTTCTTTCACTTTTCTTTCTTTCTTGTACTTTGGTTTTTTTTAATTCTTCTTCTTGATGTACCTATCCGTTACGAATGTTGGCCGATCATCATGGCAACCTTTTATCCTATCTGCAGCAGCGCGGAAAAGCTGACATATGTTGTATTGAACTAAATTCTTAGGTTCTTTAACCAAGATGTTCTTCTTCTTCCTGGACGTCGCTTTCCAAATATTTTTCCTTGCAGGATGGCTTGAAGAAGAGCATGCCTGGATTCATTTCGCATAATATGTCCGAAGAATTGTAACTTTCGAGATTTAATGGTGGTCAGTATCTCTCGGTTCTTATTCATTCTTATGAGGACCTCCTCATTTGTGACTCGGTCAGTCTAAGGGATCTTAAGTATTCTCCGATATATTTTCTCTGGTTTTTGGTCCATTCTTCATTTATCAGGGTGCTGAAGTAGTTGTAGTGCGTCACTCTTTCTACAGGGGATTGGTTAAGGTAGAGTTGACCTTCTGTTATCTTTTTCTTGCTTATTATCATAAGCTTTGTCTTCTTAACGTTTATATTGAGTCCATATTGTTGACCGTAATACTGTGATTTTGTTCATAAGAACTTGAAGGTCATCTAAATTATCCGCAAATACTGTGGTGTCATCTGCATATCTGATGTTGTTTAGCCGGTAACCATTTAGTAGAATTCCTTTTTCAGTTTCGTACAAAGCTTCGATAAATATTCTTTCAGAGTACAGATTAAAGATTAGAGGAGAGTAAATACAGCCTTGCCTCACTCCACGCATGATTTTCACATAGTTAGTGTTCACCTTCAACTCTGAGATTTGCTGTCTGATTCCAGTAAAGATTTCTAATCATTTTCAGATCTTGGTTGTGAATTCCTACTTCAATTAGTATTTGCATCATCTTGGCGTGCTGTACTCGATCAAATGCTTTCTCGTAATCAACCAGACATGCGTATACGTCGCAGTTGACGTCTCTGTATCTCTGGAATTAGACTTGCACTGAGAACAAAGTCTCTCTAGTACCAACAGCATTTGTGAACCCGAACTGATTATGGATTTGACTTTCACACATAACTTATGAATTATCTTTAGGAACAATTTTAGGAGATGACTCATGAGACTTATAGTACGGTAATCTTTGCATTTTTTTGGCTCCTGGTTTTTTTTGGAAGTGCAATAAACTTAGATTTCAGCCATTCTGTTGGTATTTCTTCAAAGTTGTATATGTTGTTGAATATCTTTGCGATATTTGCTATTGGTTAGTTGTCCATTAGTTTGAGTAGTTCTGCTTGTATATTATCAGGTTCTGCCGCTTTGCCATCCTTTAACTGTGTTATTACAGAATAAACTTCCTGCTGTAATATTCTTAGTCCATCATTTACCTCTTCTTCTAGCTCAAAGGTGTTATCTCTTTGGTCTTCAAATAATCGTCAGAATCAGTTATATTTCCTTTCTGCCTTCGTCTTAGTTTCCTGTAAGTTCTTTAACTATCCTATGTACATTGTGACTATCGTACTTTGACTGCAGAGTCTCAATTTTTTCGCATCTTCCCCTTGTTTCTTTTTCTTTCGCTTCTCTGATTTTTGTTCTTATTAATATATTTATGGTTTTATAAGGTTTAGGTCATTTTTAGCTTCTTTTCTCTCGTCCATTAGTTTTAGGATCTCATCTGTCATCCATGATCTGTCTGTAAGTGTTTTTCCTTTACATTTTGCACTATTTCTGTAATTTGTTTGATCGTTTGTTCTTCGTTCGATTCGTCTCTAATTGCAGTCACTTCACTGCATCATACGTAGGTCGTATGATTGTGCTTTCCTTTTCAGCACTGTTTTAAGTTTGACTAAATACTCCCACCAGTGGAACGTGGTCTGTCTCCAAGTCTGCTCCAGGATAAGTCTTGACAGATGTAAAGCTGCTTCGTTACCTTTATTTACTAAAATGTAGTCTATTTAATTTCTAATAATTTTCCCGAGTGTCTTGAGAGGATTTCCACGTGTACAGGTTGCGAGGCGGTAATTGGAAGAATGTGTTGGTGACAACTAGTTCTGAGTCTTCTGCGAATTTTTCTAGGAGGTCTCCTCACTCGTTTTTGACTTTAAGTCCATGTGGTCCAATGTACTGTGTCTTATCTCCAGCTCCAATATTGGCATCGGAATGTTGGTGAATAAAAAACCTCATTTTATATTTATACTCCAATACTACTCAAGTATATATTTTTCATTGCGTTACTTTCCAGGTACCGAGTTAAATATCTGTCCCAAAGACTATTTGAAAATCAAAGCTATATTTCCTGGAAAGACTTTATAATATACAATTTACTCATACCAATTCCGACAGATAAAGAACTCATCTCGTTAAGAAATCAATGTTTACTTATCGATAAACTACGTTCGGAAATAATTTCCAAAGAAGAATTTCTTGATCTACTTTTTTGGTTCGACAAAGACGACGAGAATAAAGATAAGAGCAATGGTGTCTCTTTGAAAAACTTACTGTTTAAGATGTACAAGTACGATAAAGAATCCTGTAACTATACAGCGATGCTTCTCGATTTTTGTAAAGGTGCATCTACCCAAGAAGGCATAGCAAAAGCATTAGCTGTTGTGTGTCAGAAGTCTGTTTGTTGGAATGAAGATACAGGAAGAAGCTTTGTTCAAGAAGTTTTTCACAAAAGAGAAATTCACGAAGAGGAGGTATGTATTATGTCGAAAAAGTTTATCTGTGTTTATCATACTCTTTGTTTCACCGATATTCATTCTAACGCCTTATGTTTCAGCTTTGATATTTAATTTTAACAATTAAAGTGAAATATTTATAAAAAATGTCAAGAAAAAAGTCACAAAAAAACCTATAAATATAATGTACTCTCTGAAAGTTGTAAAAAAAACTTATAAAAAAAATTCAGGAAAACATTGCTGATGAGAAGATATGTAGTTTTTTGAAGCATCTTAAAGTCAGCTGTGGAGGAAGTCCTAGGATTAGCGAAACTTGGATTAGCATTCCACGACATGGATGGTTTGACCCAGAAGGTATAGTTGCAATATAAAGGAGAGAAAATAGACAGAACCAAAATGTACTAACGAGGAATACGGACATTAACTGGGTATGAGAAAGCGTACACCATAAAAGAAGAACTTGTAGAAAAAAGTGTGGATGGCGGACGAAATTTCAGTTTTGATAGAAAACAGATATACTGCTAAAAGTACTAAAATTTCGATAAACAAATAAAAAAATATTAAAAATGCCAAAGAAAAATTACTAAAGAAAAACTTTTAAAAAGTAAAAAGAGTACAGAAAAAAGGTGATAAAAAACTTATACAGAAGTAAAAAACTTCAAAATTTGTATATTGGTATAAAAACATTTAATTTAAAACTTGTTCAAAGTGTCGTCCAAAATTTATTACATAACGTTTTCGATCTAGCTCAGATCATCCTCAGTGCCTTCTTTTGGTACTTGTAGCTAACACTACGACCAAAGAAAAGATATATTTGCATGTTTCGTGGACTTCGAAAAGGCATTCGATAAAGTAGAGCATGTAAAATTAATGCAAATATTGAAAAATATCGGAATAGATGACAAGGATATTCCTGTCATTAAAAATGTGTACTGGAATCAAATTGCTATCGTAAAAATTTAAGATAACAATACCAATGAAATCTCTATACAACGAGGAGTCAGACAAGGTTGCATTTTGTCTCCAACATTGTTCAATGCTTACTCGGACCAGTTATTTAAAAAGGCACTTGAGAGACAACCATATGGAATAAAAATCAACGGGGAACTACTTAATGTGATTAGATATGCAGACGATACAGTAATTCTATCAGATAATATTGAAGGTCTTCAAATTCTGCTTGATCGTATTCACGACGTAGGAGATGAAATGGGCATTAAAATAAACTCAAACAAAACCAAATTTTTAGTATTTAGTTGTGACCCACATCCCGATGCAAAGCTTCAATTAAACGGAGTCCAAGTTGAGGAAGTTCACAAAATGACATATTTGGGAACTGTGGTAACGGACCAACTAGATCCAGACATAGAAATAAAACGTAGAATAGCAATGACTAAAACTACTTTTATGAAAATGAAGTCATTTCTTTGCAATTACCATCTCAGTTTAGAACTAAGGCAAATAATGGTTAAGTGCTATGTTTGGTCCGTACTTTTATATAGTACAGAAGTGTGGACGCTAAAAGTATCAATCATGAACAAAATTGAAGCATTGGAAATGAGGGTTCATAGACGAATGCTGAAGATACCATGGACAGCAAGAAAAACTAATGAAGAAGTACTTAGGATTTGTCGCTCAACAAAGATAGAAAACTGACGAAGACTTTTAAACATCGAAAAATGTCTTATCTGGGACATATGGTAAGGGGAAGTCGATATAAAATATTACAACTGATCCTTAAAGACAAAATAGAGGGCCGTAGAGGTGTAGGAAGAAAACAAGTTTCTTGGTTAAAAAACATTCGTGAATGGAGTCAGATACCAATGCAGGACAATTATTCCATATTGCGGAAGATCGAGAAGCCTTCGCAATGGTGATCACCAACGTCGGATAATTCTGATATGGCACGCGAAGAAGAAGCTAACACTAAAAGTGCAGTGGAGAAATCAATATATGGTTTTTAATATTTAAATTTAAATTATATTGGGACCCTAGGTCGATGACAATGGTTGACGATGTTAATACTTAAAGAGCAACATTTCCGTATCCGTTTTGATGTCAACCTATTAGTTATTATCTTCATAAACAACTTATAAATTTGAGATAACAAGCTAATAGGTCTATAGTTCTTTAGCTCTGTTATATCTCCCTTTTTGTGCGTGACTACTGTAACAGCTTTATTCCACTGAGATGGTGTAACCTCTTTTGAAAGGCATAAGTTATATAATGGTGTCAATGCTTTCAATACTTTCAAGCTTTCAATAGGCATAAATATTATTTAGCATCAAATCCAAAGACAGTCCACAAGTGGCTGTCACTTTTCATTACCAGTCGAAATATTAAATATTGGCGTTGTAATTTTATGGAACACTATAAAGTCGAATTTAAGACCCTGACGAAACGAAAAGTACTTATAACAATAAAAAATAGATATTTAAGATACTGATAATACATTATCTTACCTAATTAAAAAAGTAGTTTCTCGACGAATAGAAGTGATGTTACCTGTTCTTTAACAGCAGATAGAAAATGACAATTTAGGTATATCTGTATTGGCAAAAAACTACCTAAATGAATTAACAATTTTGGAGATTACGTTCAATAAAAGTTTAATTCCAAACCGTGGTAGTCAAAAAGGTAACAGTGCTCTTTGCAATATCTTACGAAATGATTATTATTTAGAGTAGTTTAAAATATCTATAAAATATCTATAAATATCTATAGATGTATTGTTATAGGTAAGACAAAGAGAAAATCAATTGCAAGAATATAGAGAATTTGTTGGATCTATTATTAATAGTTTAATTGATAGAACAGTCCATAGTTGTGACAGCGTAATTATTACAGAAATACTACCAAAAGATGATAAAGACGTAATAGAAAATGAAGATACTAGAGAAGTCGGATTCGACATAGAAAATCAGGTATGTAAAAAGATCATAGTTTAAAAAAAAACTTTTTTTACACTTTTAGTCATTTTTAGTAAATTTCTATCTTGGGTTACACCATAGTTTTGGGCTAATTTGATAAATTTGTTTTTATTTGTGTTCCAATTTTTCTCTATAGTTCTCAAGTGCAAAAAATCAAAGTAATACTCAATATTAGTAGAGAAAAATAAAGCATGACTGATCAATTTCACATTTGATCTAAATAGTACAAATTTGATCACACCTGTCGTATTGCTCGTACGTGCTACCAATTCCACTCTTATCAATACAAGGTGTCCAGAAACTCTCCTGGCAAACAAAGACTGGAGATTCCTCAGATAATTTTAATTCAATTTAACCCAATTCACCTAGTCCGAAAATGCTTCCTAAGGGAGCTAGAGCTCTTTGAGGATGGCGTCTTGTAATTAGTTTTTTTTAATACCTCCAGCACGCTTCTAGTTAGAAGAACGAAAACTGGTACGATTTTTATCATCCAGAGTTGAAACGATTCCATCAATTGCCAATTTTAAGTACCGGTAATAGGCGTCAGTTTTGAGTAGCTCAACGGTTATTTTAATGCATATTTTTCTTGCCTTTAACTTTTAAGCATTAGTTATAATAGATTAGAGGAAATTAAGGAATTAAGGAAGGATTAGAGGAAATGTAAGTAATCAGCACCATTTAAAGGATAAAAGTAGAAAATCGTTAACTACTCCTATCCAGACGTTTATGCTAAACCTATGGTTATGCTTAAATTCTTGAACAATGTGGGGATTTTCACAAACATACGAATTATTTTGTGCATTATGCAAATTAAAAATTACATTTTTTGTGAATGTAGATTCATCGAAAACAAAATGTGTTGGACGCATGACAGATAGTTTTCGATAGCCAATTTCTGGATTTTCCTCATCTTCCATTAAAATATCGTCTTCATGTGGTGCTGCTACATAATCATATCGTCATCTTTCATTATTTTTATGGGCCACTGAACCTATTACTCTTAATTGTTGATGAAAAACTATAAATATTGAGCGAGTGTGAGCAGGATTGGGAAATTTTTCAGGATATCTACGTTGTACTGCTCGAGCGTTATACCTCATTTCGCCATAAACGAAAGAATATCAGGGTCTTCCTCATTAGTAAAAATTATTTTTGTTGAATTGAAATTTTTATATTTGTTATATTTGTTATATTTGTTATAAATGCCACAAAGTAAAAAAAACTAAAAGATAAATTTAGGTTATACTTCTTTTGAAAGGTCAAAGCCAACTAGTGCAAAAAACATTAATTTAACTTTTATAACTAAAAAACGAAAAATTTTCAAATCGATATTTCTGAATAATGGTGTAACCTATCGCCTTAAAGTAAGAGTACATTTTAATACTAAAATACCAGAAAATTTAATAATGTAGTATCAAGGATGCAAGGTAAAGACAAAAAAGTCATGTTAAGTAAATACGCCTATGATCGGTACTAGAAATTTTAACTCTAGAGGATAAATAATTGTAGAGGAGGTGTGCCAAATATGGAATATGTCCCCATTATGGAATATCCTAAGATTGAACAAACTAAAAGTGACAACACTGGATCGACATCACCATGGTGTAGCTAGTGCTTGTCCTTGTCGTGGCTGTAGACTGTAGAGTCATCATTAAACCGTTGAAAGTAACAGGTGTAATTTTATAGTTATATTTATTTTTACGCCGGCTCGAAAATTATTTAAGGTATGTATTCTACATTTTGATACACATACTTAAAATAAGCATAGAAATATCCGATTATGTCTTGCATGTTTAGTAGTCTTAAATTTAATTTTCCGATATTGCAATTTAACATTAACCTGTTGCAAATACTTTAATTTGGTCAACGAAAGTTGGCTGCAGTCATCCTTTGTGATAATCCCAAAAACAGCTAATGCCACAAAAGACAGTGAACACCGCTTAATCAGCTTAATGAGTCACTTGCTGAAACTCTTCCTTAGGATATTATACTCAAGAATATACAAGATACTAGAAGAACTTAGCGGGTCAACACAATTCGGTTTTAAGGGAGGACTAGGAACAAGAGAGGCAATTTTATGTTTGAACACCTTAATACAAAACCACTTAGATCAACGAAAAGATGTCTACCTCACCTTCATCGACTACGAGAAGGCATTTGACAATGTTAAACATGATATCATGATGGAACTACTACATAGGGCCAACATTGACCAAAAGGAGATCAGAATTATTCAGAATCTATACTGGAACCAAATGGTAAAGGTGAGGATTGATCAAGACCAATATACAGATGAATTTGAAATTCGGAAAGGTGTCCGCCAAGGCTGCATACTCTCTTCGATGCTTTTTAATTTATATGTTAAAAATATATTTGCGGAAGCATTAGAAGACACGGAATTAGGCATTAAGGTGAACGGCATACCAATTAGCAACCTACGTTATGCGGACGACACAGTGATTAAAACTGATAATTTGGAAGATCAGCAGTTATTACTTGATAGGGTGAATAGCATAGGTAAAAAATATGGCCTCAAAATCAACATTTTGAAAAGGAAATATATGGTCATTAGCAGAAACCCTCCAGAAAACCCGATAATATGCATAGGTGACGATCGTATAAAACGCGTGAAAAATTTAAATACCTTGGCACCACAATCAATGACCAATCGGATCCACAACACGAGATAAAAATCCGAATACAAATGGCAAGACAAGCTGTTGTGAAATTCAGACCGCTCCTATGTAATCAAAACCTAAATTTCGAAATACGCTACAGAATGGTCAAGTGCTACATATGGTCCATCTTGCTTTATATGGAAACGTGGACTTTGAAAAAAACATCTATCAACAAACTTGAAGCATTTAAAATGTGGTCATTGAGAAGAATGATGTGCATACCTTGGGTGGATAGAGTTCGAAACGATGACGTCCTTAAGAGAGCTGGGGTGGAACGAGAACTCTTTGAATTAATTAAAAACGCAAGATTGGTTACCTTGGGCACATATTGAGAGGAGCAAAATATGAAATACCACAGTTAATCATACAAGGGAATAACGAAGGTGGGAGAGGAGCCGGCCGCAAACAATTATCCTGGTTAAGGAATATTAAAAAATGGACAGGAATACACAATACAGGTGAACTGTGTCACGCCACCAAGAACAGAATTCTAGTAATGAGATAGTCGCCTACGTACTTTGGTGTATGGCATGTTAAGAAGAAGAAGAAGGTCAACGAAAAAAAAATGGCTATGTACCTTATATGGAATACTATACTGTGCCTATGATGGAATATGCCATATTAGGTACACTTAATTTTTGAAGATTTTAAGAAGACATAGGATTTATGTTAATAAATACTGTCTAAATTAATTATTATTAATATTGTTTTTAGAGTAATATTATGGGTCGTAAAAAATGGAGATAGGAAGATATGGTTCGTGCCATCCAAGCTGTGCGAAATCAGGAGATGGGATACAAAAAAGCCGCAGTATATTCAATGTTCCACGCACTACATTATTTCGTCTATCAGCTTAGACGAATGCTACACTAGTCCAGGTTGTTGAAACAAAATTAGGAAGATCTGCAGTCCTGCCACAAAACTTACAAAATCAGTTGGTAGATATCTACTTTTAATGGCAAAAAAGTTTTACGGGTTAACAAGAAATGATGTTAAAAGTATGACTTATCAACTGGCTACTGTTAATAAAATACCCAATCCATTTTCAAAAGAAAAGAAAAGTGCCAGAAGAAAATGGTTGAATTTATTCCTGAAATGACACAAGGATATAATTTATGTCACAAAGCCAACTGGAACGTCCATCCATAGCGCCAAAGACTTTCATAAGGAAAATATGATACATTTTTTTGATATTTTGGAGACAGCATTTGAAAATCATAATTATTTAGCTGATAAACTATTCAACGTGGATGAGACTGGATTAAGTATTGTTCAGTCTAAAGTCCAATACGTTCTTGCGCTTAGAGGTTCGAAGTAGGTAGGAGCATTCACTTCTGCAGAAAGAGGTTCTTTAGTCACAGCAGTCTTGTGTATGAGTGCCGGAGAATCTTTTGTCCTACCATATCTGATTTTTCTCAGAAAAAAACACAATGTTTTATTGGAAAAGGGTGCTCCTCCTAGTTCAAAAATTGTGTGTCATCCAAGTGAATGGATTCAAACCCATATTTTTACACAGTGGTTAATGGGACCCTTAAAAATCCATTATAGTGAGATGTTAAGATTATTTTTAAGGTCAAATCAAACACCAATTACACATTATGACATTGCTGAACTATTTATAAAAGCGTATCTTAAGGTGCAAATTGGGACAATTGCCGTTAATGGCTTTAGAAAAACCGGAATATTTTCTATAAATCGCCCTGTCTTTAACGAAAGCGATTTCCTTGCTGCAGAACAAAAATACTGAAAAAGAACAATATGCAGTAGTTGAAAATATTGCCGACTTGCCGACAATAGTGTAGATGAATTTGTTGGACCCGAAAATATTAGACCGATGCCAACCTTTTAAAAACAGACAGGACCTTGAAAGGGTAGGCACCTAGAAAAGCAGCGATTATTACCTCGTCTCCATACAAAGACGCTTTAGAAACTTCAATAAATTCTTCTTCAGAACAAGCCAAAACAGTAAAGCGAGAAGTATTAATGGAAGCATTAGATAACCAACAACCATCCTGTAGTTACCAGCATCTACGTAAGACGAAGAAGAAGACAATATTTCAAGATTCCTCTTCAGAATCTGAATCAGTAAGTTTCAAAGACGATTCTTCCGATTATGATGACATGATAGATATTGCAGCAGACAATCCTAAAAAAGAAGATGCTACTTGTTTCAATTGCAATGGAAAATTTTTGGAAGACAAAAAAGGAGAGAAGTGAATATAGTGCATTGTCTGCAAATAATGGTGCCATGTAGATTGTTCCGGTTGTGAAACTGATATCTTTATTTGTGAGATTTGCAAAGACAATTTACATATTTTGTCAAGGTATAGAAAGTATCTAAATCCAATAAGTTAAAATATAAAAATAAAAATTTCATAAAATAGATGGTGTTTTATTTTAAATCTTATTTTTTTTATTTAAATGCATATTACTGTGTTCCATATTAGGATCACAGCATATTCCATATTAAGTACATATTCCATGTTAGGTGCAAAATTTACCTTTTTCATATGTCACTTTTTGACTATCCTGGTATGCAGATTTTTCTATTTTTAATATTAAAATCTGATATATAAAACACTAATGTGTATTTATGAATAAAGAATCACACATTAATTTAAGAAACAAAAAAATTACAAACCAACTAAAAACGGTATTCCATATATGGCTAGCTTTCGTTTTTCTAAATAGAAGCGTTCTGGAGATATTTAAAAAACACTAATTACAAGGCGCCATCTTAAAAGAGCTCTAGCTCCCTTAGCAAGCATTTTCGGACTAGGTGAATTGGGTTAAATTTTCTTAAAATTATCTAAGGAATTTCCAGTCTTCGTTTGTCAGGAGAGTTTCTGGACACAATGTATATCTGTAATATTTTAAAAGTTACTCCATAGGGGAATATGACAATCAAAATGAAATTAAAGTGAAATTGTTTAGGGGACTACTCAAATAATCCTTCCTTCGGTGACTCATATTGCTAATAGTGTTTGCTAAGGGCAGGTATTATATACCATTAAATCAGTATACACCAAAAGAATCAATTACTATTTAACTGGGAATAAGCCACAATTAAAGATAAAAATACGTTTATTGACGTTTCAATTTCCACTTCGGAAATCGTTCTCAAAATACAAACAGTAAATTAAACAAATTTTGTTTTTTATTACATAGTGAAAAATTCTTCTAATAATTTAATTTTATCTGACTCATTTATATTGACAATTCAGATATACATTATGCATTTTAAAGTAGACGACTTTAAAATGATATTTTTAGAAACATTTGTTAACATGTGTTTTATTAAAAATGATTATCCTTTATCGTTTATAAATAAGGAATTTTCAACAATCGATCGAATAGAACAGAACAACTTAGAACGAGATCCTACAGCATACACAAGGAATAATACGAGGAAAATAACAATACCGTACATAAAAGGATTATCAGAACAACTTAAAAGGATAGGAAATAAATTCAACATTTCAACAACATTCAAAACAACAAACACGTTGAGATCTATTTTGTCCAAAACCAAACCTAACAATCAACAAGAAAGGACAAAGAATCGCATTTATAAAATACCTTGTGAATGCGATCAGTTTTATTTAGGTGAAACATCAAGGCCATTAAATGTTAGAATCAGTGAACATCAATCTTATATTAAAAATAGAGAATTTGATAGATCTCAAATATGTAAACACGCATGGGATAATGAACATATGGTTCAATGGAATAATTCAAATGTAGGCCTAATAGAAACGGATGGTAAAAAAAGAAAAATCAAAGAAGCGGCTCTAATTATGCTAAATAAGGCCAATTGTGTCGCAAATTCCTCGGCAGAATGTAGTAGGATCTGGTTACCAATATTGAAAGAGGAAGTTATTAATAAGAAAATACCAGTATTAGTAAGTCAGTAACATATAGAGGATACATCATTTATGTTTTTTAAATAACGAAACATATAAAATCAGAATTTTGGTGTTTATTGAAGGTAAACTAAATGCACGAACAAATACTTACCATGTCGGGATAGTATTATGAGGTTTTTTTCCTGGTTTTTCCCTCATATCTTACTATGGAATCACTAACAGGAGAATTTTACTGTCATCATGTCATGTGTTTGTCTTTTTAAAGACGAATTACATGCTATGATTTTTTCTGACGGATATTCTCAAGTTAAAGTTGATTTCATGTAATCGAATGAACTATCTTATAAGTAAAGTCGTCCCAAGAGCGCAACTCAACAATATTGGCAATATCATTTTAAAGTCGTCTACTTTAAAATGCATAATGTATGTCTGAATTGTCAATATAAATGAGTCAGATAAAATTATTAGAAGAATTTTTCACTATGTAACAAAAAACAAAATTTGTTTAATTTACTGTTTGTATTTTGAGAACGATTTCCGAAGTGGAAATTGAAACGTCAATAAACGTATTTTTATCTTTAATTGTGGCTTATTCCCAGTTAAATAGTAATTAATTTAAAATGCCACAAGAAAATAGCTTCAAAACCAAAAGAATCAGCTCAATTTTGTCTCGCACAACACCTAGATAAAAAAATATTGTAATTAAAAGTATACATATTTTCAGGGAAAATATACACCACAAGAAAGAAAATTTTCTAAACATAAAAATGACGGGAAATTTAGAAACAGTGCCAAGAAAATGTCCAGAACTTCTGAGTCACACGAACACAGGCAACGCAGCAAAAGTAGAACTTCCGAATCACATGAAAATAGGCAACGCAGCAAAAGCGGAACTTCCGAATCACATGAAAACAAGCAAGGGATCAAAAGTGTTCCGGAAACTGAAACAACTGGAAAAATTAGTTATATCAAAGGCGAATCTGGCACAACAACAAGTACCGTTCCGCAACATAAAGAAAAAAGCTCTTCGCCGCCTACCTCTACAAATACAATCGGTTTCGAAAATCAAAACTCTCCATCACTCTGTTACTTCCTTCGATTCGATGATATCGCTAAACTTTTAGCTGCAACATTATCGAACATTCTCAGCTCAAAAGACAAAAAGTTTTTCGATGTTTTGTGTAATGTATACGAAAGCTGCAAAAACCCTGCTTTTAACAACGAAGTTCTTTGCCATGAGTTTCTAAACTGTAAAGGCTTTTTGCAGTTAATGGAAGGCAAGACTAAATTCGTTATTAAATATCCTGGTCGGATTGTAAAGGAGATGTTAGAATAAAAAGATAAAGTAAATTGCAAGTTTAATTTCCTGATCCAATCCTTATTTGTATACTTTAAATATTCGTAATGTTTCAGTTGATTTTTTATACTTAGTGGTCTGGAAACAACAGAAAAATCTGTAAAGAATGGTGTAGACGGAGCCATCAAAAAACAGGGAGTACGGGAAACAGGGAACAACAGAAATAAAGTGAAAAGGTTGATCTATTACTTATTTTGCTTCTATTTTTTACTTATTTACCTTTTATCCAATTTACTTGTAACGACAGTTGCATAAATAGTAGGAATTATAATCTTGGCAACCATGTATTGCTTGTGATTTCAGTCGAGGCATTCCAAATCCAAATGATAAGACATTTAGTGACAGGTAAACTAACAGACTAACAGACAACACATCAGATCAGCAGACAGTCCCAGACAAGACAAGGATTATTTATGTACTATTTTGTAATAAACTGTGTGATTTTAAATTGATTTAAAACCTAAATGATGTGATACGTTAAGTTTGCGCTTTAAAATTTTATGTTACCCAAAAGAAGCATGGGATACATGAGGATATACAAATGGTAAGTGATTTGCATAAACAATTCTTTATAAATTATGTATAGTTGATGCCCGGATAATAATCCTTACTCCATAAATGGAACATGTCACTTAAATAACGAAATTATTCTATTGAGGAAGTAAATATAGTGTTGTAGAATCAGTTTTTGTATAATAGGTTTTAAATTGTATGATATTCATTGGGTTAGTTCAACTCAAGTCACCCTCAGTTCAAAAATACAAAGACTAATTTGTTATTTAATCCATTATGTCTGGACTAGGTAACTTTTTTTGGATAAAATAGACCTTGTCACTTCTTTTATAATGATTTAAATAGATATATTTAGATGGGATTCCTTATCTCTTTTAAGTTAAAAATTATCTTAATTAACAGACCTAAGATAAACACAAGACAATTAATCAAAATTCTTATATTTGTTCATTATTTTATTAAATACTACTTATTATGCTATTTATACAAAATATATTTGTACATAAGTAAGGGAAATGTTGTGAATGAAAGTTTTCTTCTATATATTTGATAATATAAGCAGATATAAGTATAAGTTTATGTATTAAACATAAACAAACAATACCTTAAGAGCTTACAATAAACACTTGGGGTGTGATATTGGGCATAAGCTCCCTCGGATTTCATCTACTGTTCTCTGTTTTGTACTGAATTTATCCAAGTGAGACCTGGGAATTTTTTGAGGTTGTCAAATTTTCATATCTTAGTCATTCACATAACTTTTAAAGTATTTTATAGTATTTAATTAAGTTTACTATTTCTCTTCTGAAATCTCTTACTTATCCTCCATTTTTATATTTGGCATTGGTTTTTCTATAGCTGTTTGTGTTTTCTTTATTCTATCACTTTTTCAAAAGCAAATTAACATTTGCCCTTGTAAAACCCCATACTTCTGACTCATAAATGAGAATGGAAAGTACATATTAGCTGAACACTTTTATTTTTTAAATTTAGTCAGTATTTAGAGAAATTAATAAATAACTATTCACACGCACAGAGAATACAGAGAACAGAGTCAAAGTAAACAATCATTCATCAGATAAATTTATAGTTAACGCAGGATTAAGGCAGGGCAATCCTTTGTCATCATTACTCTTCAATTTATGCCTAGAAAAAATAATGCAAGAAGCGAATATCAATAGAGGACTCCTATATCATAAAAGATACCAAGTTTTGGCATTTGCGGATGATGTAGTGTTGCTGGCAAGATGAAAAAAAGAGCTACAGGAAATAGTACAGAGAATATTAAATGCAGAGAAGAAAATGGGACTTAAAATAAATGAAACTAAAACAAAATGTATGCAGTAGACAGATGATAAGTTCATTGATGGACAAAAGTTTAAAGTAGAAGAAGGACCATCATACGAATTTGAAATGGTAGAAAGATTTACATACCTAGGTGCAATAATATCACGTAAACCTAATATTAAAGAAGAAGTACAAGCTAGAATAATGGCAGGCAATAGAAGTGTACATGCTATTAGTGGAATGTTGAAAAGCAAGTTTTTATCAAGAAAACCAAAATACAGTTATACAAAACAACTATACAACCAATAGTAACATATTGCAGTGAGACATGGACAATGAGAAAAAATGAACAAAATTTACTGGAGATATGGGATAAGAAAATCCTAAGGAAGATATATGGAGTAATATTAAAGGACAGTTTATGGATAAGAAGATCAAATGATAAGTTAAAGGAATTATATAATCAACCTAATATAATAGGAATCAGAAAGGCACAGAGACTAAGATGGTTAGGTCACCTAGAAAGGATGCTGAACATGAGGACCCCAAAAAGGGTACTACACTATATCATCAAAAACGAGAAAAGGAAGGCCAAAAAATAGATGGAAACAAAAGGTAGAAAAAGATATGGAAAAAATTTAACTAGAAGGCCATAAAGAAAAGCGAAAATGAAGAAAGAACAAACTTTTCAAGTCATGTGCCTCATAAGGCCTTTAGTGCTATTGTATATATATAAATAATAAATAAGTATGACCTAGGCATTTCTTAGAAGTACACAATTAAATCTTCTTCTTTTTCTAATGGCACTACAACCCTTTGTGAGTCTTAGCCTGATAACAATGATCTTCCATTCTGCCCTGTTTTGCTTAGGGTTTACATCTCTGGATTACTTTTACAGCTTGATTATCTGGCATTCTTTTTGAGTGATCAAGCTAGTTTAGTCTTTGTGGCTTTACAAATCTAATGATATCTATGCTCTGCATTAATTCATCCACCTCATAGCTCATTTTTATTTTCCTCCAACTGTCGCTACAATGAGGTCCAAATATCTTTCTCAATATTTTGGGCTTAAATATTCTCAATTTATTTTCATCAGTGGTTGAAAGTGCCTACATTTCACATCCATATGTGACCACTGGTCTAATTACTGTTTTGTAGATTCTAAGCTTAGACTCACAATTCAGTAACTTACTTTTCATAAAAATAATGTGTATACATATTACTGCAAGAATCCATGCTTGTATTTATTGACTGACATTGTTGCTGTGATTTGTTATTGAGCCTAGCTAGGAAAAGGTGGATCCATTTGTAGGTATGGTTGTTTACCTTCAGATTCTTATGTTGATTCGACTTTGTGCCCTTCATATACTTTTTTTTCTTTCATTTATATTTAGATCAAATGCAGCATCTTCCTGTTAATACTAATTTGTTGCATTTTATTATGGCAACAACATCCTCATATGCGCCTCATACATATGCCTCATATTTGAGTGGATCATGTAGTTTTCTGATAATAACTTCCAAAGATAGATTAAAAAGTTTTATCAACTTCTTGATCTAACTTATTTCTTCTTGGTGTTGTTCTTTTTCTGGGTTTAAGAACTGTTAAAAATGGTTCTTCTACCTTTTCATTAGTGCCTCTTTCTTACTGATAATTGCCCCATTTTTGTTCTTGCACACTATTGTCTCTGTTCTGGTCTGTTGTCTCTGGTCACTTGGTTATTACAGTCTGTAATTTGTTGTATTTTTCTATTTAACATGTTTCTCTTTTTTCTTTTGCATATTCTCCTTACATCCCTTAGTTTTTCATATATCCTTCTATTCAATTGGGAATTCCTTTGTAAACAGCTCTGCCTAGCTGTATTTTTGTTATTTATTAGTTGTTGGCAACCTTGGTCAAACCATTCCTTGTTTCTTTTACTTGAGGTTTTGCCTAATATTTCCCTTGCTGTATTGGTAATTGTCATTTAGATATTTCATTTGTTTTAAATTTTATTTTTTTCTCATCTTTCATTTAATATTAGCTTTATTTTCTGCTAGTATTGATTCTTTGTCTTATGATTTTTAAACATATATGTGTTCCATTTTCTTTGTTTGGTCACTTTCTCTTTTCTTACCATTGAAAATCTTTGTTTTATCTTCAATATTACCAAGAAATGATCCAAATTGCTTTTTACGCCTCTATAAGATGTAATATCTGTTACGCAGGTTGTCCATCGCTTAGACATTATTATATGATCAATTTGATTAAATTTATTAGTACCAGGTATCATCTAGATTCTTTTATGGATATTTTTGTAGGGGAAACACATACTGACTACTCTGAGTTTATTTGCCATTGCCAACTGTGTTACTTTTATACCATTGTTGCTGGTAATATCATGTTAATTATGCTTACCAAAGGATTCTGAATATATTGGCTCTTTTCCCAACTTGTCGTCCATATCACTCAGGACTATAATTGCATCTCCCTTTTGCATGTTGTCACATTTTACTTGTAGTTGGTCGTTGGTCAGTATAAAAGTATGGAAGTAAAATATTTCTAATAAAAACTGGTCAGAATTTTTACGAAATGACTTGGGAATTCCATACACATATTTGAAGAATCTTCTTCTTACGTGATCTTCTTTCAAACATTGGCGATTCAAGTGGCTATTGTAGCTTTGGAGCTAAACAAAACATGAAAGATCTCTGCAGATGAGATCTCCTCGGGTCCTTCAGCCATTAGTTCTGACATCTTATTTGAAGAATAAAAAAGAGTAATATACTGACTATCATTCTCATTTTGGTATGCAAATTATAGGAGTAACAGTAATATTAACAAATTTTTAATTTGGGAAGAAAATTTCCTTCCGTTTCCTACTCTGTTATTATCTATTATCACTGCCAAGCAGATCATTCCAGAACATTTTCAAAATTAGTCTAGTTGGTGTGTCATAATAAATACCAAACATCCTTAATTTTCTTTTAATGTTAAAATGAAAAGGCTTCTCTAATTAATTCCAGTTAAACATCCGACTAAATGTACCTTATCTGTAAATAAAAAAGTTTGCCTAGCAATTAAAAACACTTAGGAAATAATGATTTTTTCCCTAATATTTATTATCGGAAGCTTGTAAGATAATTGTACACTCGGTGGGAATATCAATTTTTATTGTTATTTACAGGCCTGCGATCAACAAGCAGTTTTTCATAGCCCTATTAATGGGACTAATATGCGGATGGCTTATAGCATATACTGGCGTCTCACATCAAATCATAGCTTTGACAGATCCACACACAAGTAACGATATGGAAAATATGTATGGACCAACAGTAGATCCCGGAGACCATGCCGATAATGAAGAATTTCACAACATGGAAGATCCAACAGTAGCAAATAAATTGTACAGTAACGTTAGGATTTTATGTTGGATCATGACTGGACCAAAAAATCACGAGAAGAGGGCAAAACACGTGAAGAATACGTGGGGGAAACGATGTAATGTTTTGTTATTTATGAGTTCAAAAGAAGGTAAGAATTTTTAATAAGTTTTATGTACTTTATGATTCGTAGATATTTTTTGTTTATGTAATTATCTCAAAACTTGCAGGGAGTTAATACAACTTCAGTTAATTTTGTACTTCAGAAAGTATTTAGTAGTAAAATGTAAAATTGTTAAATTTTTAATGCTCATCATGGTATTTCGACTCATAAGAATAAAAAAAGCGTTTACTATGTATAAACATACTTTTGTTTAAGTTTGGTTAAAACAAACATAATCAGTTATGTTATTTGTTGATTTTGTCATCACAAATAAAAATCTGTTGTGTAATTTGGATCTTACTATCGTGATCGTAGTTTGTTTCATTTGCGTGATGGATCTGCACAACGATCGCGTTATTTTGGGTTGGGTTTTAGACCATTGTGAATGGTTATTTGTTAGTGCTGTAATATGTTGTATCTTTCTGTATTCATTTATGTAACGTTTTAAATCGAAAAAGGAATGCCGCTTACAGCAAATATTGAAGCAGCTTCTGATTTCATTTAACTAACCTATATGTGGTGATAGTATTCCGTAAAACTTTTGTACTCTCCAGTCTTCTACAAAAGTTTTATCTCTTTTTTAATTTCTGGTTTTCTTCTCTAAATGATAATAATTTAGTCTCTAGTTTCTTCTTCTTCTTTCAGTACCCTGTCCGATTATCGAACTTTGGCGATCATATTGGCAATAATAACTTTGTTTACGGCGGCTCTAAATAAATTAGCGGTGGTCCCTTGATACCATTCTCGGAGATTTCGGAGCCAGGATGTTCTTCGTCGGCCTGGGCCTCTCCTTCCGGCGATCTTACCCAGTATTATGAGGTGTAGCAGGTTATACCTTTCTGGATGTCTCATTACATGACCGAAATATTCTAACTTTCGAGTTTTTATCGTTTTTGTTATTTCTGTGCTCTTTTTCATTCGATGTAAAATTATTTCATTTCTTATTCGATTAACCCAACTTATCCGTAATACTCGTCGATAAATCCACATCTCAAACGCCTCTAATTTTTTCATTAACGTCTCTGTAAGGGTCCAGCTCTCCATACCAAACAGCAATGTGGACAATATGGAGCAGCGTATTAATCTGATTTTAAGGTTTAACGTAATATCTCTATTAATTAGAATTTTCTTTAATTTATAGAAGGCGGCTCTGCCTTTTTCAAAGCGTACTCTTATTTCTTTATTTATATCCCAGTTATCGTTAATGTTTGCACCCAAGTAGGTAATATTGTGGACTCTTTCTAGCTCTATTCCATACGCTCTGATGTTCGTTGGTTGTAACTCCGTTTCGCTGACAACCATAAGTTTTGTCTTAGAAGTATTAAGTGTTAGCCGATATTCATTACATGTTTCGGTTATCCTGTGTATAAGTCGTCTTCGTTGGTACAATAAGTACCGTGCCGTCTGCATATCTGAGAATGTTGACATTAATTCCGTTGATTTTAATGCCTGTATCTTCAACTAAGGCTTCTTTGAAAATAAATTCAAATTAGATATTAAAAAGTAGAGGCCATAGAATACATCCTTGCCCCACTCCACGTCGTATTTCCACTGCTTCCGTCGTGTTGTGTCCAGCTCGTATGTTTGCACATTAATGCCAATACAAATTTTTGATAATACGGAGGTCTGGGTCATCAATTCCCACCTGTTGCAAGACACTTATAAGTTTATCATGGTTTCGCGGTCAAAAGCCTTTTCGAAGTCGATAAGACACATATATACTGATTGTTCTATATCCCTACATCTTTGAACCATGACCTGCAAACTGAAGACTACTTCTCTGGTTCCAAGGTTGTTTCTGAAACCAAATTGTGTTTGACTTAGTTGTACTTCTATTTTGTTGTAAATTCTCGAGTGTAGTATTCTTAGGAAAATTTTCAGTACATGACTCATCAGACTGATAGTGCGATGATCGCTACACTGTTTGGCATTTACTTTTTTCGGTATCATTACAAATGTTGACAGTAGCCAGTCTGTTGGTATTGGTATATGTCCTGTTTCATATATTTTATTAAAGAGGCTTAGAAGAGAATGTTTGCCCTTATCGTCGAGCAGTTTGATTATTTCACTTGGAATTTCATCTGGACCGGTTGCTTTCCTATTCTTTGATAGCTTTATAACTCTTTCCATTTCATCGAGTCTTATATTTGGACTAGTCGATATATTTTTGATTTGAATTTCTGTCCTACCGTCATCAAACAGCTCCTTGATATATTCTTTCCACCTCTCTAATCTGTCTTGTTCATTGACTTTAATATTGCAGTTGATCTATATGTTGCAGTTATTTCTTTCACCTTTTTGTACATATTAAACGTGTCATTCTTTTTCTGCAGTTCTTCTATTTCAAGACATTTGTTGCTGTACCATTTTCCTTTGCATCCCGGATTTTCCTTCTGTTTTGGCCTACTTTCCATTAGTCCCAATATTTCATCAGTCATCCATTGTTGTTTGCGATTATTAATAGTTTTATACTTTTTAGTTGTTTCTTGCATAATGCTTTTGACATGATTCCAGTGGTCTTCGACGCCGACGTTATGTGTTTCTTTCGATTTTTCGAACTTCTGTTTTATCTCTTGTGTAATTTCGTGACTATTATTTTGAATACAGTCAGTGTTTATTCGGTTAGTCGGTTGTTGGCGTTTTACTACTTTAAGTTTGAGTTTTATGTCACTGAATAATAAGTTATGATCTGAGGGGACATCGGCTCCAGGTAGTGTTTTAGTTATTTTGATTGAATTTCGGTACCTCTCGTTAATTGTTATATAATCAATCTGATTTCTTATGATCTTTTCTTTAGTATCTGCTGGTGACTTCCAAGTGTATAAACGACGCTTGGGTAGTTTGAAGAATGTATTTGTCACACAAAGATTGTTCTCTACGCAGAATTCTACAAAACGGTCTCCTCTGTCATTACGTTGTCCAATTCCAAAATTCCCTACAATGTTTTCTTGTCTACCTTTTCCTACTTTGGCATTGAAGTCCCCCATTATTACAGTAATGTCTTTGTTTTTCAGCTGACTCATTACATTCTTTATACCATCATAAAAATTCTCTATGTGATCTTCGCTACTGCTGACTGTGGGCGCATAAACTTGGGCCAGATTTATATCTACTGGTTTTGAGTTTAATTGTATCACGATGACTCTGTCCGAAAAGTAACTTACAGATTTAATACAGGAAGAGATTTCTTTATGTACAATAAATGCGGCGCCATTCCGGTGGTTAGTGCCTTCTTCTCCGGAATAGAATACATCGTGGTCGTCTATGTTACATTTACCAGTCCCTGGCCACCGCATTTTGCTTATCCCAAGAACTGGTATATTGAGCCTTTTTATTTCACGTATGGCATTTTGTATCTTACCAGGCTCGTAGAGACTTCTCACATTCCATGTGCCTATTCTGATACCTGATTTTATTCTGATTTCTTTTCCTTTATCACAGGGATTTCGCTGGATAATGGCCTGGGAAGCCCTGTGTGCTAGTCTTCTCCTGCCGGATCTTGGTGTCCGATGACCATGATCAGTATACTTTTTCTTTTCATATGATAGTGCCATTATGATTGAACTAGGAAATAATAATGGGGTGGTTTACCGTTGCCTTCCTCATCGCAGTATCACAACCATTTAAACTGCTCCAGTCATGCTTGTGATAGCCCAGTTTCAAACCAATCCAGGCTTATTTCCTCTACGCCTTGAGCTGGTACTGATGATCGCTGCTGGCTTCATCACATATAGTGATTCTATATAATCCCTAAAATCAAGGGATTGCCACTTGCGCCATCCACACCGTATCGAAGGAATTCTTCTCCGCCGTGGCTCCCGTTGTGGACTTCATCCGTGACCCTGGACAAGGGACCCTAAGCAGGTACTAGTTTACCGGGTCAGGAAACACCTGGAATCTGCGGAGGTCAGAGATTGATTTCCTCTTCTTCCCTGTGCATCTTTTGGTAGAGGTAAACATTTGGAGATAGCTCCAAATTTATTTTTTTTTTATTTTTAATTTGTAATCGAAGATAATTTAAAGGCACAATAAAATGTGGAATACGTCTCCCTCTCAATTAGCACGCATTTACTTGTTTGGTACGTTATTAAGCGAAGAGGTTGTCGATTCAGATAAAGATCCTAAGTCTTCTCATGTTTACCATGAACCTAGTGTTAACCGTTGACCGCTTTTCTCTGTTTAATTGAAGTCCTGAAATTTCATTGCTGGTTCACAGTGATTCTGAAAGTAACGAAGGTGAATAAAAGAGATGAAAGTAAGTGAAAGAGAAATATTGATAAAAAAAGAAAATCTGAAGGAAACTTTTATATCAGCATTAAAAACAAGAATAAACTTCTGAAAGGTGAAAGAAAAACTGGGAAAACTAACTCATTTTGAAAACACTAATAAAGGCAAGATATTTTGACATTCTTTAATATCATTGGTAAAAAAGAGAAACAGTACATATCTCTAGGACAAATAGTTATAAAAAATGTTGGCAGATCTAGACCTAAATCGCTTGGAGGACTAAAGCCTTATTGTTTCTGAGAATACAATATAAAAGTCGCCGCAACTTTAAACCGGGCTTGCCATTAAACACTCCAATGCCCTAATATGCTGTGTGAGGATGTAATACATCAAATTTATTCGCGTATACTGTTTGCAGGCAGATGCTTTATCGTCGAAACTACGTAAATGGTTTCTAATACCGAAGCTGCCCTCCGAAAAATTTACAAAATTTTAACCGACCACGTCCGTTTTAATAGCTTTAAATGTATAAATGTGGCAAAACCTCTATTTCTAATATTTGATCTATATAGAACCAGTCATCGTCTTAATCAAGGATACATCTTGTTTCAATAGGATTATTCGTGATTCCATCCTTACAGTCGAACTTTCGGTTTGTTTCATCAAGCAACAGTTCGATTTCCTTGACAATATCGAAATACATATATCGAAAAATCTGTAATACCTGAAGATTTATCTACAGAATATACAGTGTTTTTAAA